TAGATTGTAGTACTCTATTTCGAACTATGATAGGTTCTAATACTATTCTTCGAACGAGCACGATTCGTTCGAAGATAATGCAGATTATTTTCTATATTCCTTTTACCTTTTTACTGTACTTTTAAGCTTCTCTCGTTTCTCGTTACTACCATTTCCCTAAATGGTCGATGGGTTAGGATAAGAGAGATAGAGAGAGAGAACAAAAGAAAGAGAAAGCAAAATAGGGAGAAGAGAGGACGATTCGAAGTTGCGTAAAATTGTTAGGGTTGGCAAGAATTTTCACGAGTCATTTAATCGATACCACATTCGACATTTGAATTTTCTACACGTTCGATAAGATTCAACGGAAAGGGAACCAGTACCGGAAATGATTTACTGATAAATGTAAAAATATAAATCGATGATTACACTCCTATATAGTTGCATAATTTTCAAAGTAATATAATATTTTTTCATTTAATATACGACAGATGAAAGTTAATTCGATTTTACGATAAAAAGAAATCTCGTATCTTTAATTATATTATATATTATATTATATCAATAAAATTTATTGATTGTAAATTAAAGATAAACGGAAAACTGGAAATTATGGATATTCAAATATTGGGTCGAGACGAACGAGTCAAGCCGGGAAGAGGAGACACGAAAATTTGTCAAAGCTCAAACATATTTGAGTGGCCTATATTTGCAACTCCGGTATCCAGATTGAATCGATCCGATCAATTGGGTGTCCCCAATTTCAAGTATACACACACACACATACACACACACACACATACACACACACACACATACACACACACATACACCTCTCTCTAATAAACGTGATTAACAAGAGAATGAGTGGTAGGATAAGTACCATTTATATAAAAATTTGATCGACAATGAATTTAAATAATATCGTGTATTTATAATTAAGAGAGAAAATTTTTTTAGTTTAAAAAAAATAATTATATAAAGTAATTGCTCGAATGTAGGTACGAATGAATTAATCATTGAGCGGGAAAAAAAAAAAGAAGAAAAAAAACAAAAAGCAAAAAGTGACAAACCCAGGGCGATGTTTATACGCACAACGTTTTTGTTACAACGTACGAAGTCATGCGTGTAAATTCAATTGACGAAGGAAGGAAAGGAAAAAAAAAGAAAAGAAAAAAAAAGGGAAAAAGAAGGTTAGGCGGGCGGCGAAGAAAGCGTCCGCGCGTTCGGTAAATTTTTGAACCATCGCAATCGCTTTCCGCTTTCCGCTTTCACGATTCGGACAGCCAGGATAGAACATTCCTCTTGCTCGTTTTTTCCTCTACTACTTTTTTTGTTTTTTTTTTTTTAACTCTCTCTCTCTCTCTTTTCTTTTTTTTTTACGAATTGTTCCGTTCTCTTCTGCTTTCCCTCCACGAACCAATCTCCTCTCTGCTTTCAGAGTCACTGCATAACACATTCGCTTGGGATTTCCCACAGAGATCAGACACCGTTAAAACGCTCGTATAGACCGTAAATTCGTCTTTCTTTTCATGATTTTTCTCTCATTTTATTTCTACTTTCTATTTATTTCCATCCACCTATCTTCTATCTCTTTTCTCATTGTATCGTATTATTTTCTTTTGAAAATTCTTATTACAAGTCTTATCTTAGATTAGTTGGATACGCGTTGCAATAGGGGAAAATGATTTTCTAAAGAATGTTAGATGAAGCGAGAGGTGAAAATAAATTTTCCTCTTAGTTCCCTTGAAAAATAGAAAAAATAGAAAAAAATAAAAAAAAGGAATATAACATTAACAATTGCGTTAACTCTGGTCGACAGTTAAGTACGTGCCCGGAACGGTTTCGAACTTTATTTTAGTGTCCACATGTCTGACCAGTACGAGTCTGCAGTCACTGACATCTGGTGCTACTCTACTTTTCCGGAGTTTTCTACTGTTTCCCTTTCCCATTCCTCCACCCACCCACCCCCCTATTTTCCCGATCGATATTACGTGAAAACTAATCTACGGTTTCAGAATTTAAATGCACTTTGTGCTCGCTCTCTCTCTCTCTCTCTCTCTCTCTCTCTCTCTCTCTCTCTCAYTCTCACGGGCAATTTCGATTCATATTTTTCCATGTAAATTGTCAATCAATTTTGATAATGTACACGATAAGTAATTGAAAATAATTTTTTTTATATATTAAAGTCGCAAAATTGATTTGATTAATTATTTGCAAACAAACAAAAAAGTAACACGATAGAAAAATAAAAATAAATGGCTTTAACGTAGGTATTTCCATAAATATTAATTTATTATAGAAATGTATATAAATATATATATATATAGTGTTAAAAATATATATATATATATATATATATATATAGTGTTCACGCATTTTTCTCAGTTGAGAAGTTACGAAGTGAACGTCAAAATGGAAATTTTCTCTCTCAACGCTAGAAACGAGTATATAAATTATCGATAAAATTCAAAAAATACGCGGTAGCTCAGAGAAAGAGAGAGGAAGAATAAAATGATTTATTCTCGTTAAATTGATAGATAAAAATGTAAAATAATGGATACGGCTGGTACACTGGCAATGTATTCCATCCTGTTACGTGTATCAGCTTCGAGTAAAAAGAGATGAGACAAAAGGCATGGTGTTTATTATATATATATATTTTTTTTATCACGAAAATGGCACGAGGAAAATTTTATTAACAATTTATTGACATATAACAGATAACGCACAAGCAATTCGGTAAATATATTTTTTATTTTGTATTATTCCAAACGAGAAACAAAAAGAGATAATATACTTATCGTATCAAAATGCTTTTAATTATTTCGACTCGTAATTAAAATTAAAATTAAACAGAAAAAAACAAACAGACAAAAAAGAAAAAAAGAAGAATAAAACTAAGAAAATAATTTCAATAGAAACCTAAATAGTATTTTAGAAGGGTTGGTTGGTTGGTTGGTTGGTTATCGATCAAACGAATCCAACCTGAAAAAATAAGGTAATGTTAATAACGGAGACAAAATCGTAGGTGAGTGTTAAAAAAGCTTTCAGTGTTGAAGATGGAAACATTGCTAACAGAAAGAAAGAAAGTTAGAAAGAGAGAGAGAGAGAGAGTATTGATATCTCGTTGGTATTTAGCATCGAGTCTGGGAAAACGCAGGCAAGCCCAACCAACCAACCAACCCCTTGCTGACTTTGCAGGGTGGTTCATAACGAATGTGCTTCGCGGCACGAAGCGTAGGAAAGGTGGTTGCTACCAGCGCGTGTGACGGTAACGACCACGAGTCATTAGCAATGCTAATGCACCTTTCGACCGATGAGGCACCCCAGTAATGCCCTGCCCTACCTTTCTCCATCCAAACCCTTCCTCCTGTCTCCTCTACAAACCCCTTTCAAGCTTGAAATCTCTCACTCTCCTCTTACTATATCTTTCTCTCTCATTCTCGCGAGCAACCCAAGCATAGTGCATTTCTCAGCTCGGCTACTTTTAATCACCCATTCTATACCAACACCATCCCTAACGGCAAAATACCTGTCTCTTCTACTTTCATCAATTTTATTCTAAAGACTATCTTTTTTTTTTTTTGCTTTTCCTAATGCAATCAAATCTTCTTACGCGATATATATAGGTTAAAAGTTTAATGAAATATTTTATTAATTGTATTATATTAAAATTAATTCGATTTCTTTTATCAAGTATTATTATATAAAAATGATATCATTTTTATCGAATATAAATTTGATAAAAGAAAGATATTTTTCGTTATCATATATATATATATGTACCGTGTAATCGTATGGTAAATGTCCGTAACGATCAATATAATTTATATATCGTAATAATATACATCAATCTGAGAGAGAGAGAGAGAGAGAGAGAGAGAGAGAGAAATATCTTATTAATTGATTATTTAATATTTTTAATTCAAATTAAATTTATATATAAAATGTAATATTCCATACAAACTCTCTCTCTCTCTCTCTCTCTCTCTCTCTGTATATTATAATAATAATTTTATATATTTATGAAAGATCACGTATCTCTAATTTGAATTTATTCCATTTAATTAACCAACATATTTTGACATTTTCTTTATTTAGAGATTACAAAATATTCATAGAGCTAAAAGAAAAAAAGAACACGACTAGGGAGAAAGATAAAGAGAAAACCAAAATTACAAGAAGGTTTAGACAAGGTTGGGTAGAAGCTATGACATTGTTAACGGCATTGCTACCTAATTAACCGCAAACGTTTTCAGTGGGTTTCGCCTAGTCTATTGTTTACATGCGGGTATGGCGTCTCTCTATGATAGTACTTCTCGTCCAAGTCAGCTAAAATATTTCCATGTAGATTCTCTCTCTCTCTCTTTATCTTTCTAGTATCTCAGTGAACCTCTCTACGTACACGTTATCCGCTAAATTTGCCAGCACGCAACAAAAGTGATATAACTCCGACATTAAGTTTGCAACCACGTTTTGCGTTTTGCCCCGGAAAATAATAGTAATTCTTTAACTATGATATATATATATATATATGGAAACGAAAAAATGTTAGCATCGTTTAATATTTATGAAACATTTTTTAATACAACCTTAAAAAATCTTACCACGAGTAAGATTAGATTTTTAATGATAAAATTTTTTCACAGGGAACTTGGACATTAAAAGAAGTAGAACTTTAGATTGATTGAGTTGGACGTTTCGTCMMTTTATTGGGASTTCTTCARCWACTGGAAAATTTATTTTCTTACATTTTTCATTACGATACATGCGTTTTATACAATATAATTTATTACATATTACCYTAATCCTCAAAGTTCAGCGTCTTTTTTATTTAATTTCAACATACATTTCTTTTTATAATATTCTAAAACACAAGATTTTTATTTGATTCGTTTAAATCCCTTTTTATTGATTACAATTGATTGAAATTATCAATGTTACAATATATTCGTATTCTCACAAATGAATATAAATTATAGAAATATATTGAAAATGTATATATTTCGTTGTTACAGATTACGACAGGACAAAGGTGGTGGCGCATGGTGTCCTAAAAACATGGTAACAAAGGAAGGCAAAGAATATCTCGAAGTTAATCTTCATAATCCTCGTATTCTTACATCGGTAAGAACGCAAGGTAGATTCGGAAACGGTCATGGTGTCGAATATACGGAGGAATACTTCGTCGAGTATTGGCGTCCTGGGTTCAACAAGTGGGTGCGATGGAGAAATCGACGTGGCACTGAGGTTGGTTCGTCTCTATACGTGTATATATATAATACACTAACACATTTATGATATTTCCTTTAATCATTTTTCAATATCGATTTTATTTCATTAAGAATATAAACTACACAACCTCTGTGTCCGATCTATGATTATGAACGTTTCATCATATTTGGACATTAAAGTGAAACAAAAAAAAAACGTAACGAGTACAAAACAAAACTAAACCAAGTTATTTTACTGCACCCATTTTGTTCTTAACAATTCTCGTTCGTTATTTCCATTCCTAAAAGGGATTGATACCGAATGAACGTTTTTTAAAAAGAAAAAGAACGAGACAGATAGATATAATAGATAGATAGAGAACAAGAAAAAAGGGAAAGAGAAAGAGAGAGAGTCGTCTTAAATAGCCGAAATGAATTATAGTTAACTTGTATAATTGCTCTTGCCAACGAAATCCGATTACGTTTGCCTCCGTTTCACAAGAAACCAAAAGGTAACGCGACGAGTGTAATTCTACTCTTTTGAGCGTAGAAAATCCACTCGTTTCTCCTTCGAAAACGGAAGGTTGAATGAGAGAGAAAGAGAGAGAAATAGAGAGACAGAAAGCAGAATAGAGAAGAGAAGAGAAGAGAAGAGAAGAGAAGAACGATAACCCCGAGGCAGAACGCCATTTGTATTTCCTCTCTCTCTCTCTCTCTCTCTTTCAGCTTTGTCTCTATCTTTCAAGTTAGATGCAACGGGTCGTCGGAAATCTATGGTTTACAAATGAGAAGCACTGTCCACTGTTAAGTGGCCATTACGGGATGTGATGTGTTAATTAGCGTCTCTTCAATATGATAATGCTAGATAGGATATTCATTAGGGGTTGGGGAATACATTGCATTGCTGTAGCAATACTGTCATCGACGTTCAACTAAATCATCATAGTCTTTTCTCGACGGTTGTACATCTATTTGCGTTAGACAATAATACTATATTCGCAAACGCATAAATTTCATTGTTGTCCGAACGTTTCGTCTATGTAACATTAACAACAACGACCGTTGTTTGCTAAAATTCAAAGCAATTAGATGAAAGCTTAATAAACAACGATATCTATCTATCTATATATCTATCTATCTGTATGCGATTTAGTTTGAGATAGGAAAAGTACTTAAATCTATGATATAATAGTATAGAATATAATTTCACGTTATCTTCTGTATAGAAAATCCATTGGGGAAACAGCAGACAACGTAAAAATAATTTATCGATAATACAATTGGTATATTTTACTAAAACACATATATGCATACATACATAAATACATTCATATATACATCCTCATGGAATTACAAGATCGGTGAGAACGCGTTAAACTTTCCCTTTAAAGTGGGAAACGGTGGAAGAAGAAGAAACGGTAGCAACGGGGGGCAAAGGGGTGGGTGGGTGGCAGTGGCGTCAGCGTGTAAGAGACATTAGGAAATAGAAAAATGTGAGAAAATAAAGTTCATTTGCATAGACAACGCGACGGCAATGCTTGGAACGTGTGCACGATATACCCTACTACCTACTAGCTAGCTAGCTAGCTAGCTAGGTACCAACCTAGTCGGAAACACGGCTCGGCTAATGAATTCATGGAAGTTCGTAGGACCAGATAGATCCTCCAAACCCCTACCTCCAACTCCCCTTGCACCACTCCTTCCCCTCTCCTTCTTTCCCAAATGTATCCTAGTATATACGAATGAATGTTGGGTAATATGGTAGCACCCGGGGCATCGTGAATTTTCGAATAAACCGAATCGGTTGTTATTAGCGAAACACGCGCAAACGTAAAAGGTCGGAATTGTAGTTAACTTATTTGACGAATCGATTGCAAATATTTATTATTGTTACGTCACAAAATGTAACTATGAAAAATAATTCATTTGTTATATGTATATATATATATATATCGATTCGAGAGAAAAAGTTGGAGAGAGAATGGAAGAAAGAAAAAGAAAGAAAAAGGGAAAAGGGTATGAGAGAATACAAGACCCTTTTGTTCGTAGCCAATCGCCGGGCCAACATTTTGTAAATGGAACTTTAATGGAAACACAATAAAGGTGGAAGGGTGATGCGCGTGTGCATTTATTCCCGTTGAAAAAAATTCTATAGGGATATGGATATAATCAATCGTAACAACGAGAAACGGGGTTCATTTTTCATATATCCTATCATTAGAAAATCTATACACAAAATTCACATTTTATATATATATATTATATTATTATATTATCATCCCACACACTATCATATATTTATTACCATTATCGTGCTTCGTTTGCCTCGAAATTCAATTAAGCTTCCCTCGAGAGTGGAATACTAATACGTTGAACATTCTCACGAAATTCCGTTACCGTTTCTTGCATTGTAATCTAAAGATAAAAACTTCATTTAGATATCAAATTTATTGTTTAACTTATTCAAACACGGCAATTAATCGTTTTAATCGTATTCTCGTCAAAATTATGAAATTCGTAATAATTTCGTTATATTAAAAAATAAAAAATAACAACACTCATTCTCGATAAAACAATAATAATAAAATTTAAATAACATTTCTTATTTTATTCATTTTTTTTATTCTTAACATAGATACGAGAAAAGTACGTTTTCAAAAGGAACGATTTTATAGAAAGGAAGCTTTAAGGTAAAAATAGATCGGGATGTTTCCATCAATCGCGAAATCGTTGTCATCGAAAACTTTCTGATATTTCCTACCTACGACTGATGATTTCCTTCCATACGTATCATCCTATCTATGTATATTATACCGAACCTAACCGAACGACGTATACGTGTATACAGAAGTAGATATACAGAATACGTCTTTCAACGTAACCGTGTACTATTCCTACAAGCGTAGAAAGATAGAAAGATAGAAACCTTTTAAAGTAGACATAGAGAGAAAGCAACGACGAACGCACAGAACAGCACAGAACAGCACAGAACAGAACAGAACAGGCTTGGCTTGGTATCTCGTTTATTCCTGGAACGAGAAACCCCCGTGTACCAGCCCCCTCTTCCTATATACGCCCCCCCCCAGACTTTTTTCACATTTTCACGCAGATCTGCTCAAAGCAAAAGACCGACGAAGATATCCGGTAGTCGGTGAGGGGGCAGGAGGGGGGCTCTGAGAACGACGATGGCAGATGGAAGGTGGTAGATGGTTGAGTAGAGTGAACAGAGGGGTAGTAGTAATAGTAGTAGTAGTAGTAGTAGTGGTAGTAGTAGGGTGGGAACACGAACGTTTACCCTGCAGTCTCAATCTGGGCGGCATGTGATCTTTGTGCACGCGCTCTTTCCTTTTACTCTACTTGTGCTTTGAATACTGGGTTGGGAGAATGAACGAGAAAGAGAAGAGTTAGGAATGACGAGGAGGAAGAAGAGGAAGAGGAAGAGGAGGAGAAGGAAGAGAAAGAAGTGGGGGAACGGTGGGTTTGGACTGTAGGGGAGGTTTTCGTTTGTGGGATATATCGTTGTAGATAGTGGTAGTAGTAATAGTAGACATGTGCACTCACACACACATACAAATACACACCCATCTTTCCTACTCCACATTCGCATTTCTTTACGTCCGAGTATAGGAAGACTACGTTATCACCTTTTCGTCGTCGTCGTCGTACGTGACCCGAACCTTCCGCAAGCATTTTTCTCAATGCTAAACTCACATCACCAGTCCAACGTTTTCAACAGTTGGAAAAGAAACGCCAAGGCGACCGACTCTTTTCTTTTCTTTTCTTTTCTCTTTCTGTGTGCATGTGTGTATGTTTTTTTCTTTTTTTGGGGAGAGGGGTTGAAAAAGGACCTCTTCTTCTTCTTCTTCTTTTCTATTTCCTTCATTCCCTCACCACCTAACGTTTCCCTCTCATTCCTTCATCACGGCCCTTTTTTTTCTTTTCTTTTTCTTTTTTATACATTACTTTAGAACCATTCCTTTCGAAAGTTGCCTGAACAGAGTTTCCGTTCCAAAACGTCTGGCCCGCGTCTGGAATTTCTCAACAACAATGCTCATATACGTGTCGAGTTTGAAAATTAATAAATACGAAGTTTGGGGTGTTGTTGTTAAAATAGTTTGGCAATACCGTTGCTTTCTGTTTTCTAATTAAAATTCGTTCAGTTTCTGTTTGTTCGTTTGCTCGTGTTTTTTTTATTTTTTTTTTTCTGTAGATTCTTTCTCTGTTTTTCGGGGTTCTTCATTCCAATTTAATGCGAAATATTATTCAGTTTATTATCACGTAATATCTATGAATTATTTTTGCAAGTGATATGAATTTAAACAAACGATCATTTTTCAATCCGAATTGTATAAGTAGATATGCGGGTACAGTAAACAACATGAAAATCAACTCGGTGATTCTATGAATATTAAATGATTATAACTCAATCTTGCTGATGCAAATGATAAAATAACAATTCGCTTGTTTCAGAGAATATCACGTTTGGTTTGTTTATTACATGCAGATGTACGTATTTTATTTGGTTTTACGTTAACACGAGTTACAATAAAGTCAACAGTTTTCTTTTCGAAAATTAGTTATATCATTATTATTAATTTATGATAAATTAAAGATTAATATGTATATGCTGTAAAAAAATTATAACGCGCGTTAGTAAAAATTAATTCGATCTTCATATTATAATGTTTAATGCAAGAGTTGGCAGGAACATTCGTTCTACACAAATAATTATGATCGAATGAAAAATACGCGTTACGCAATCGTGCTTCATTTTCATTTATATATCACGATTGTAATTGATACGGAATCGATTTCAAATTACATTTGATATTGGCGTTGTTCAATTACCTTTCCTATAAATAATTGATATGCGTTAGATCATAATTTAATACGTATGGAGATTTCCATAGTATCAATATTGCTATCAAATATGCTGTTATACATAGTAGTCGGTAAATCTATCAAAGGTTTACAAATTTTACCTTTAATCCATATTCCCTGTTGAATTAATTTTAAACGAACCTTATGTTCTACTTT